TAGAAGCGGAACATCTCCCCGTATCCTCCCCCATATCTCCCCATATCTCGTGTTGGCAGCTGGGGAGCGGCGACCCTAGAAGCGCAAGACGCGCTCCTGTCTCCCAACCAGCGCTCGCGAGGACACGCACTCTTATCTCCCCATATCTCGATCTCCCACGCCGGAGCGCCATATCTCCCACCATCTCCCACGCCGGAGCGACTTCTCCTCTCGCTTGGTAAGCTGTCCGTATCTCCCCGTATCTCCCCGTATCTCCCCATATCTCGATGTGTTCGGCCGAATTCCGCTGTCCTCACTGCATTCGGAGCCCCGTGGGTTCACGAGCTGTCTGAAAGCGCTGCACAATGCCGTCCTCCCGCCCCGGAGGTTGTCGTATTCGGCACGCACGAGCGACGTCTCCTCCATCTCTCCCCACATCTCTCCCCATATCTCCCACCATCTCCCACGCCGGAGCGCCATATCTCCCACCATCTCCCACGCCGGAGCGCCATATCTCCCACCATCTCCCACGCCGGAGCGCCATATCTCCCACCATCTCCCACGCCGGAGCGACTTCTCCTCTCGCTCGGTAAAGCTGTCCGTATCTCCCCGTATCTCCCCGTATCTCCCCATATCTCCCCATATCTCGCAGGAGCGGCTCCTCCTCTCGTTGGGGAAGTTGTCGATCGCCTCGGTCGGCACCGCCGCCGTCGCCGCCGCGCTCTCGACGCCCCTCACCGCCTTCAGCGCCGCCGACAACGGGTCTGGCGTCGCGTGCTTCGCCTTCGTGCTCATCTATGCGATCGCCAATGCGTGGCTCGTCGTCTTCGACGCCGCCGTCGAGGCGATCTTCCTCTGCTTCCTGGTCGACCAGGCGAGCAATCTCCCGCGATCTCACGCGATCTCACGCGATCTCACGCGATCTCCCACAATCTCCGACAGTCTCTGACGGTGTCTCCCGTACTACCCCACAATCTCCCGCAACCTCCCGCAATCTCCCGCAGTCTCCCACACATCTCCCCGCCAGGCGGAGAACGACGGCGAGACGAGGCCGTACTACGCTTCGGCGGCGCTGCGCAGCTACATGGAGGCGCACAGGCCAACCTACGTGCTGCCGTCGATGAGCTTAGACGACGACGAGCTGTCGCACGCCATCCAACAGATGGGTGGACTTGACTCGCTCGAGCCGCCGCCGCCGATGCGCGCCGTCGCCGGGTGACCTCGGGTCGCCTGGGGCGATCTCTCGCCTGGGGCGATCTCGGTCAATCTTGCGGTCGCCGGGTGAGCGGCGCGCGCGTTGTCTGCGGCGCGGTTTCCCTTGCCGCCCACGGCTATGCTGCAGCTGCTGCTGTTGGCTCTTCTGTTGCTGTTGCTGCTTCGCCAGTGGCTCAGGTGCTCGCTCGGCGCCCACCGTTACGGAATCCCTGTGGCATGGTGCGCGTACCTGACCCGCGGAGGGGCTGCCTTCGGTTTGTCTATTGACGGCGCCGGCGGCCGCATCTCGCTCTGCTCTGACCACTATACTTTCGGAGTCCGCCCGCTCGCTCCGGACTGACTTCCTTGGAAGGTGTAATTTATTCGATATATATCGACGAACCTTCTGAAGTACTGAGCACACGCTTCTCAAAACTGTCCTGGCTTGTGGCCGCCCTCAGGCGCCAGCCGCAGCCCTGAGGCTGAGCCGGCCGGCGGGCCGCCCTCCGTGCACCGGCGCGTACGCGGCACGGCGCACGCCCACATTGGTCATTGCTCATTGGCTTTGCGGGTTTGCACAAATGCGCGCTACTCCTCCTTCTTCTGTGGCTGCTCCCGTCTCTGGAGCTCGTCGATGCGCCGGAGCAGCTCCTGCTCGCGAGCTCGAAGCTGCGCGATCTGCTCCGCCGCTGGTGAATTTGCTTCTTTCCTCACACGCCCTCCACACCACCAGTTAATCGCAGTACTGAGAATAATGATCAGGAGTACTATGCCGACCACCGCTGCGGCCGCCGCGCTGAGAGAGGATCCTCCAACACCCTCGTCGGCCGCAAAGAACTCGAGATAACGCACAAATAGGCCGCGGCTCTCTGCGGGCATGTTGCCAAAGTTGACGCCCGTCTTGTTTCGATGTTGCGTTTGAAATTCGATCACCGATCTTCACTTGAGCACTTGAGCACTGGATAGGGCCGATTCCGCGTGGTACGGGACCCCTCGATCGTCTCGCCCTCCCTCGCTGGTGTGCTCATTGGGGGGGGTCATAACAAACACGGTGCAGGATTGAGGTGCACGCTGCCGAAGCAGTGTCGTCCCCTCTCTCCCCGACGGCGATGGCGGTGTGACCGATCGAGCTACAAGAGGGACTTGTTCAGCAGGATCCGGGTTGGACTGGCGCACTACCTCACTGGGCCTGAGACCGCCGTGCGCTTCCCGTCACCGTCTCGGGTTTGTGTGGGATCGAACCACTCCGGGATGGGCAAGCCCATCGTTCTGACTTGCACCTTTCCTCCACCTGCAGGAGAAAGCAGGGGGTGTGTGCGCCGCCTCGGCTCGACCGGGGGGGGGGGGGGGGGGGCCCAAAAAGGGGGGGGGGGGGGGGGCTTTTCCCCCCGGGAAAGGCCCAAAAAAAAATTTCGAGGGGTTTTTCAAAAAAAAAAAAACCGAAAAAATTTTCCCCTTTACCCCCGCTTGAGGAAGGGAATTTCCTACTTTCCCCCCCCCGGGGGGAGGAAAAAGGCCCCCCCCCCCCCCACGGGGTTTTTAAGGGAAGAAGGGGGGGGGGCTCTTCCAGTCGGGAGAGGCCGACAAAGCAACTTCGAGGCGTACTTCAAAAAAGAATAAACGCAGAACACTTCCCGCTCTACGCCCGCTCGAGCCAGTGACATTCCTACGTTCCCACCCACGGCGGCAGGAGAACGGCACGCCGCCACCACACAGGGATTTTAAGGAGAGGAGTGTGGTGCGCTAGCCGTCGCCCACCCTGGGGAGTCTGCCTCGTCGTATCTCTTTTCGCAGTCTCTCGCCGCTTCTCGCTGCAACCTTCATGCCACCTCGTGTGTGTGTGTGTGTGTGTCACTCACTCACATGCCACCTCGCGGCCGTCCCACTCTCGTCGGTCTCTCCCTTGTCACTTCCTCCTCTGTCGCGTCGTTCTCTTCTGCCTCGTCCTGCGACGCCGCCGCCTGCCGGTCCCTTGTTGCCAGTGTGCTGTGAGAGAGGCTTGCATCTTAAGAATTCTTTTGTTGAGTTTCGGCTCTCTACTGTTTTCTCGCCCCCCCCGCCTCGCCACGCCCGAGGGCTCGCCCTGGCGGCCTCCCCACGCGCCCTGGCGGCCCGGGTGGTTTCCGACTCCGAGTCCGCCTGCCGCGCCGCCTCCGAGGGCTCGCCACGCCTGCTCGCCCGCATGCTGCTCCGCCGCCTCTCACCGGGCTTTTCCGCCGCCGCCGCCGCCGCCAGCGCCGCCGCGTCTGCCGCCGCCGGTCGCAGCGCCCTCTGCGACGCCAAGAAGGAGCCCACGACGCGGCCGTCCGGCAGTCCTGGCTGGACATACACGAATGTCGGGGAGGCCGAGACGGATACGGTGGTGCGTGAAGCGATGCAGCGGCTGAGCAGCAGCGACGAGGCGCCGGACGCGGCGGCGGCGGCGAAGCGGAGCGCCAAGACCAAGCCGCCCAAGGAGCGCAAGCCCTCCGAGGCGCCTGCGCCCGACAACCCGGGCTGGTCGTACACGAACGTGGGCGAGGCTGCGGCGGACGTGGTGGTGCGGGAGGCGATGCAGCGGATGCGGACGGAGGAGGGGCCTGCCGAAGCAGAGAGCCAGCACCCCCTCCACACCACGCCTCCCCGGGGAGGAGGCGGTCTGCGCCGCCACCTGACGGCTGAGCAAGGGCTTCAGCGGCTAAAGAGGCAGTCCACCGACGTCGGCGGCCAGCAGAGGTACCGGGCGGGGCTCGAGGTCCAGATCCTGTACGTGCCGTATGCGGTGCTAAACATGGACGTCGGCCACCTGGCGGTGCTGGTCAAGGACGAGGACCAGATGGGACCTCCGACCACCTTTGGCTTCTATGGACAGGGCTTCCGGAATGGCCTCCCTGTCGTCTCGCACGAGCCTGGCGTCGTCGTGTCTCCGTGCCCGCTCTACGCAAAGGCGCTTGCCAACCCGACGACGCGCCGACAGATCATGTGCTTGCACCGCGGCGAGCTGACTGCTGATCAGGCAGAGAAGCTGAACGCGTGGGCGGAGATGCAGGGCGAGGAGCACGGCGGGCATCTGGTCGAGGTGCGCGGACACGAGCGCGGAGTCGCACCGATGGCGGGGGAGTCCTACCAGGGCGCCCGCGCGCTGAGGCCGCTGCTGGAGGCGGACAACTGCGCGACGTGGGCCCTCCGCCATTTTGCTCCCGACGGCGCCATCGAGTGCCCGATGGGCGGGTCGTTGCCTCGCTTGTGCCGCGCCGTCGCCGCGGGCGAGCCGCTTTCGCCCGGCAGCGGCTCCGCAACGCCAGAGAGCTTGAGGGCGGCGGAGCGAGCGAGGGCGCTGGCGGCCGAGCAGCTGCCGGCGGAGCGGCAAGAGTATGAGGGCGCGCCGCGGTTGCCTTCGGACGGCTCTTGACGCTGATCGCAGTGGCAGGTCGCGCTTGGCTGGTCCAGCCCCGTTGCACCTCGCCGCCGCCGCCGCTCCTCTACTTTCGCTCTGCACGACCAGTGAGTGCCGGTGTTCGCTGCTTCGCTCCCGCTCAGCGGTGAGGAGACAGTCACTGGAGAGGGCAATCACGTGACTCAGCCTCAGCGTGTGCATGTGGTAACTTGTGACTCGGCATGCATACATGTGCGGGCGACCTCACACCATAATGCATAAACACAGCGCGGATCGCTCAGACGCACGCGCTCTCGCGACGGCACACTTGATCGTTGATGGCTCTTGGCTGCTCTCGGGCCTCGCCCTCGGCGTTATGTGACGAGAGAGTCTGAGAGAGAGAGACTCATCACGTTGACACGTTCATGCTCACGTTAAAGCGTATCTCGCGAGAGCCTGGGAAGCTGGCTGCTGCCTGTGAGGTGGTGACGACGATAAAAAATGCCACACCGGCGCGGTGCAAAAAAGCGAGTGAACCAGTGTCCAGTCGGGCCTGACTGTGTTTTGCGAAACGCTCGCCCTGGGGACAGCGCCGCCGCCGAGGCTGCAGCACGCTCACACACGGCACATCGCTGTCAGCCGGCTCCCGGCGCACCGACGACCGAGCTAAAGCCGTAGCGCGCCTGCTGGGAGGGCCGCACACCACTAACCAGAGCCGGTCCCGTGGCGCGCGGGTAGCTATCTGGTCGCGCCTCCCGCACCCTAGCGAACCCTGGCACCCTGTCTCAGTGGTCCGCCATGTCCTTTTCGCAGACGCTGACGCCCGAGAAGTCGGTCGAGTTGCGCTCGCGGCGCAGCGACTGCCGCGTCTCAGTCGCGGGGCTCCACATTAGCCCGGCGAGCGCCTCGCTAACCTCGGCCGCGCCCGCGCCGAGGGTCTTCGTGGCGAGCCCCTTCTCCTGCGCCGCGAGCACCACCGCCTTGGCCACCCCCTCCGCGATCGAGCGGATGCGGCTCGGGTGCGGCACGACCGACTCCACCTCGATGTCGTGCGCGTCGAGGCCGTTGGCGACCGCCTCGGCGGCGACCATGAAGAAACTCTCAGGGATCGAGCGCGCGCCGCAGCTCCACGCGCCAAAGGACATGCCTGGAAAAATGAAGAAGTTGTTGACTTGACCCGGCTCGAGAATCTTGCCGTTCATCTCGACGGCGTCGAAGCGGGTGCCCGAGCCAAAGATCGCCTACAGGTTGGGGCGAGGAGCCGTCCACGCGCCGCGTGCGGGTCAAAGGCGCTCTTCTTCACGGCAGCCTTCCCTTCGGAAAAAGCGTAGCAGTCGGCGGCGGTGATTTCGGCCTGCGTTTTGGGGTTGGAGAGCGCAAAGACGATTGGCCGGCCGCCAGCGTCGCCCTTGTCGCTCTGCACCTGGAGCATCGCGGCCACCACCGAATCAAGGTAAAATACGAAATAAAACTACCCTATTTTCCTCCTCTCAGAACATTAAGCCTCCCTCCCTCGGCGAACAGAATATGATCCCCTCGGCGCTCCCTGATTAGATGATGAAATCACCCCTATCACCTTGCCCACGTAAGCCCCCCCCCCCACGCGACTAGCGACAAGGCTGATTAGGCGAGCAGCCCCCCCGGTCCCAGGCAACGGTCGCCTCGGAGGCCGCCTCTATACGCGCAAGCCCCCGCTCGCCCTCCGCCGCAGACAATGGCTGCTCCGTACCCGGTTTGCGAGGAGGTCGAGCCGCAGGCCGCCGCGATCGAGGAGGTCGAGACCCGCCTCAACAAGCTCGGCAAGTCCAAGCCCGTCGACCTCTCTGCCTTCTCCTGGCTGCAGTGGTCGCCGCCCACCGACTCCAAGTGCGGCCAGGTGTGTGGCGGCTCGCCCGTCGCCCGCACCCCGGTTCTCTCTGGACCCCGCGCCAGAGCTGACCCCGCGCCCTCCCCGGACCCCACCCAGACGCTCTCTCGCTGCTTCCCCGGCGCCCTGCCTGGCCCCGCGGTGGTCGCCCGCACCAAGGTGCTCGAGAAGCTGTACGGCGCGCCGCCACCCGCCGCCCTCGCACGGCACGTTGACCGTCTCAGCCCACCACCTACACCCTTCCCTTGGCCCGCTCAGGCCTGACGGCGGAGAACACCATCTACGGCCAGTCCATCTGCCCGGACGAGATCAACAACGAGAAGGGCGACCTGGCGACGCTGATGGCGGACCACTGGGGCGAGTGCTTCCCGATGGGCGGCATCGGCGGCGCGCCCTTTGTCGGCAAGACTGGCTTTGGCGCCTTTTCGCACCACGTGCCGGATGACGGCCACATCATCATCCTGTTTGGCCCGCACATCGCCATCTCGGACGAGGGCGAACTGGGCAAGTACCTGCGCGAGGGGCAGGTGCACGAGTCGACCGCGTGCGGGGCGGTGCTCGGCGCGTACGCCGCCTGCAAGTGCGGCCAGGCCGGCGAGTTTGACGAGATGGATATGCAGCAGTCGTGGCTCAAGCAGCGCATCAACCGCCGCTTCGGCGAGATCGAGTCCTCAGACGATCAGATGAAGGCGCTGATCCACGTCGCGTACGAGGCGGTTAAGGAGAAGCTCCTCGGCATCATCAACACCGACTTTGGCAGCGGCAAGCTCATCTTGGTCGGAGGCATCCAGATCAACATGCCCAAGCCGTGGGAGGACCACTTCCAGCCGCTCTACTATAAGGTGCACCAGAAGGGCGCCGAGCCCGTCGACATCCTCGACGACATGTGCTCCTTCTAGCCGTAGAGCGGATATGAGAGTGCGCTCCCTCTAAGCAGGGGGCGCTGCGCTGGGCTATGAGCCGCTGTGTACGTGTGTACGTCTACCCGTGTATAGCAGGGGGCGCTCGCTCGGGTTTAAGAAAAAAAACTGTTCAGTTTTCAAAGGCAAAACACAACGCTCTGCGGTTGGTGCACCCCTCACACTGACACATTCCCCTCATCCCCTACCCTTGGCTGAGCACATCTACCTGCGAGCTAGCATCTCCGCATTTTCTCTTCCAGTCATCCGCCCGCGCCGCGCGCCATCACTGGGCGTCTAGTGCAGCCACTGACAGAGCTATTCCGAAGGAGTGGTCGACGCCTCGCCTAGAGTTCGGGTGGACTTGCGCACTGCTTAGCCCTGAGGGGGGAGTGTGTGTGAGGTGGTGTAATGTTGTCCCGTTTCAGGCGGCAGGTCAGGGGATTAGCCGGGAGGATTCGGCAGCTCAGCCGGGGGCTGAGCGTCTGCAGGCAGCCTTCCGCCCGCGCCGAAATTCACAGCCCTCCCGGGCCGACGGGGTGCTCCTTGGATCGGGCCCCGCTCCCCGCTTTTCCTGTACCTGGACTGTCCGGGTTAGGAGGGTGAGAGTATTGGGTGGGCGAGGGCAGTACATCTGGCGGGTGGCGATTGAGGGACAGCGTGGGTTGATTGGGGGGTCAATGGGCGCGCGGGCGGCGCTTCGTGGTCCTGGGCGAGCAGGGGAAGTGCTTAGGAGTCTGGGCCCAGAGATGAGGCTTGTCGAGATGTCATGCGAGAGCGGTGGGTGGGCGAAAGTAGCGCGGCTGGAGAGTGGTGTCCGAGGGACAATGGTGAGTTGTCAGTTGGGGCGCGAGACGCGCGGGAATCATACTGTGTAGGGTGCTGATTGTGAGCTGAGTGCATGGGTGTATGGGGTTCAGAAATTTGTGGCGTCGAGGTTTGTGCATTGGTGGCTGGCGTAGCGGTCAGAGGTTCGCCTTCGGGCCGGTTGGCTGCGGGTTCGAGGCCGGGCGGGGGGGGAGGGGGGGGGCACACCTCACCCTCACCCCTCACCATCCTCAAATCCTCGAATCATCGAGATCATCGAGAGCGTCGTGAGCGTTGATTCTGTGCTGATTTTTGCGCGCGAGCGTCGCGATTTTTGGTCTGGTTGGTCCGTCGTGGCCGGTGCGCGGGAAACTCGCCGAAAACCCGCGCAGCCGGCCGATTGTACGACCGAGGTCGCTGAGCCTTGGCGACGCGGCGCGCGCGTCGCCAAGGAGTTCGTAAAATGTCAGAGTTTTTTCCCTCAAATTTTGCGACGGAGCCGCTCAGGACCATTTTGGGGGCGCAATTCGCCTCGTTTCCCTTGAACACGCGGTTTCGCCCCCTCGGGAGCGCCCACATAATCGCGCGCCCCCCCCTGTGGCGACGGTCTCGCGCACCTGCGCCAGACCCCACCGCACTAGCTACATAGATCGTCAGCAGTAGGCGTGCTCAGAGCCCGGATTTGGGCCCATTCGCCAGAGGGCTCGAGAATGGCGCCCGGCAACGTGCAGCTGCAGGCCAGAGGGCGTGAGGTGAGGCCGAATCCGCAGTCGCACGAGCACCGCTGCCCCCAGCGATGATCATGCATGGAGTGGCACGGCGGATAGGCCCGCCTGCGAGCGTGGAAGACAGTCGCGGGGCGTGAGGTCTCAATGTGTCGCAGGCTAGGACCGGAGACGGCGGCGCGGGAGAGGGAGGGAAGCGTGAGCGGCGGGCGATGAGAGTGATTTCCCCGATCTCGCTAAAAATGGCCTAGTCCCCTCACGGGGGGCCGGGCGAGCACGCACCTCGCGTCTGGGCGCGAGTCGACGAGTGGTCGCCGAGAGATCGCCGAACCACGTTTCGAGTGCGCGCGCACACAGCACAGCTGCGGGTTGTAACTCGACTGCCGATCGCGCGTGCGGGATCTGAATGGAGCTCGCTGGCGCCAGTGCACGGTGGCAGGGACTGGAGGCTCGGCCGAAGGGGAAGAGCAGTCCTCAATCGTCACGTAGAGGTCGCTGGGCTGGATCCATCGAACTGCCACACACCTGGAGCGGAGGCACATCAGGTCTTGCGGCACGCTCTCCGACAGATGCATGCCTTTTGAGCAATTCCACGCGCCTCCACCGTCGCGTAGTACGCCAGCGGCACGCCGGTACGCCTACGAGTCGTGCGCGCTCGGCAGTAATCGGCGTTGAGACTGCCTAGCGCGCACATCTAGAGCGCCGAGTTGCCTTGCCGCGGGGTAACCGGCTCAAAGAGGTGGGGTTCGAGCGGCGCCTGAGCGCGTGGGAATGCGTAGTGGGCTTGGAATGAGACGCCTGGCGTACATCGGGCTCGGACGGTGTCTGTTGTGAGCTCACCGCTCGACGCACAAACCAGGCTCTTTAGGCGCCCGCCAACTGGCCTCACGGTCGAGAGAGCGGAACGCGGCTCGCCGAACAGCAATACACGTGGCCGCACTACTGTAGAGGTACGAACAGGTATGCAGATCGCGGCGCGCCGACTACTGGCACGGCGTCAGAGCCAAATTGACCAAGGGCTCTGCTGGCCTGTGCCGACTCGCCGACCCTTCGGGCTCACACCACGGCTGGCCATCGCGTGAACAGGACGTGCCCTTCCGTTTTAAGGCAGTTCAATACCTTCCCCACGGGACACCAGGTCGATATCCGGCTAAACCACACGACCCCGAGAAACGCATAAGCCGCCCCGGCGCCGCCTCCGATTCCGGCCGTATCGGCCATTTCGCTGGGGCGGCTTATGCGTTTCTCGCTCGCCAAAATGGTAAAGATGTCGAGCCAAAGCTGTCGACGCCGAGTTCGGCACCCGATTCGCCTTAAAACTGAAGGAGGGGGCGCGGCTCGGAGATGGCAAGGCACGGCGAGTGCAAACGTGCGGCTATTATGACGCTTTTAGGGGCTCCAAAACCTCCTTTTCAGTGGTAAGCGCCACCTGGCACCTCGCGCCGTGCCCCCCAGCCGCGTGTGCGATCGCCCACGGATCCGGGGCGGGGGGATGGGAGCCCGAAACGTCCACACAAGTATGCTCGGAGGCTCGTCAGAATGGTTTTTCAAGCGTTGTGTCATCGTGCTGGAGACGTTAAACACCTTACGCCGTACCTTTTTTTCTGTGTGGCATTGTACACACGGAACACGCCCTCTGTGCTCTGACTTTTCGGTCCAGTCTCCAGTCGGATGTGATGCGCTCTGTCGGCAGGACCAGGAGCACACACTTACACACAGCTCACAGCCAACGGTAACCCGCAAAGCAACTCGCCCCCTAGTTTGCCCCCGCACGCCCCGATACGCAACACACGCCCCACCCCACCCCCCGCCCGTCCCAACGGTCGATGCCTGACCCCCCCAAGCGCTCCGCGAGACTCGCCCCCGATGGGGGCAGTTTCCCCTCTCGCCACGCCTGCCCCCGCTTTGGTTGTGGCGGGGTTGGACCCTCCCCCCCCCCCCCCCCTTGACCCCCCCCCCCCTCCC